CGGTTTAACTAAAGAGCAATATGCTCAGCTGGTGGCTTTACTTAAACCAACAACCAATGAACCTCATGCACTCTCTTCCAAACAAATAGACACATCAAAAATTTTTGGTATTCACATGTCCTTATCTGCCCACAATACAAAGAGTAAGAATGGACCTGTTGCACCCTGGGTTATTGACACAGGAGCAACAGACCATATGGTCTGCTCATTTTCATTTCTTACCACTATTAAGTCTAAAATCACTCAATCTGTCACCCTCCCTAACGATGAAGTAGCATTAACAACTCATATAGGAAGTGTTAAGCTCACGAATAATCTGATACTTCATGATGTCCTGTGCGTCCCATCTTTTTCCTTTAATCTGATATCAGCTAAAAAACTTGCTCAAACATCTAATTGTTACCTGATTTTCTCCTTCGATTTGTGTTATATGCAGGACCTTTCAGCTTGGAGGACGATTGGTCTAGGTGAAGTGAGGCAAGGCTTGTATCACTTGGTACAAAAGGAGGTTTTCCCTACCAGATTAATTCAGGATTTACCTAAGTTAGTTAACAAAATTACTCTGTCAACTTCTAGTGCTTTCAATCAAGATGATTTCGATCTGTGGCATTTCAGATTAGGACACCCTTCAGATTCCAGATTATATCTGACCAATATGCACCATAAATTTAAGACAAAAAATGCACCCTGTTCCATCTGCCCCTTAGCTAAATTACACAGACTGCCCTTTGATATTAGCCATCACAGATCAGGGAGTGTTTTCGATTTAATCCACTGTGATTTGTGGGGGCCTTGTACTGATGTTGCCTATGATGGATCGAAATATTTCCTTACTATTGTTGATGATCATAGTCAATGCACTTGAATTTATTTGTTAAAACTAAAATCTAATGTGTCTGTTGTTTTGCAAAGTTTTTATACCATGATTGAAACTCAATTTCATTCTAAAGTTAAGGTCATCTGAACTGATAATGGAGGGGAGTTCAATTTAAAACAATTTTATTCTGAAAAAGGCATCATACATCAAACTACGTGTGTTGAAACTCCTCAACAAAATGCAATTGTTGAAAGGAAACACCAACACATCTTGAATGTTGCTAGAGCATTAAGATTTCAAAGGGGGCTGCCTATGTTATATTGGGGTGAATGTGTTCTAACTGCAGTCTACTTGATTAACAGAACACCTACCCCCATCCTCAACAATAAAACGCCATTTGAGGTCCTCTTTAAGACTGAACCTTGTTATTCCAAGCTTAGAGTATTTGGATGTCTTGTTTTTGCTGCCACACTTGCACACAACAGACACAAATTTGATTCAAAAGCAAGGAAATGTGTGTTCCTGGGATATCCATTTAGTACTAAGGGTTACAAGCTACTTGGCTTGGAAACCAACAAAATTTTTCTATCAAGAGATGTGGTATTCCATGAGAACATATTCCCTTGCAAAACATCAGGTGTCAAGACTAATAATGATCTATCAACTATCTCACACAAGTTGCCAAATCCTACAGACTTGGTTTTTCCTCAACCAGGACAAGTCGATCTAGATTTTTCTGCTAACCCTAACCCCCAATCACAAGTTGAGCCAGTACAAAGCTCCAATGAAAGTATACCCCTTTTAGAAAATAATCAGCCCTCTGATGAAACTGAATTATCACTCAATCTCCCGAAAACCTCACATATGCCTCGAAGATCTGATAGAAACAGGAAAGCACCAGCTTACCTTCAGGATTTTATTTGCCAACAAGCCTCCTCACTCATCCATTCGCAAGAATCCTGCAAACAGAAAGGTGCAGCAATCTCAGGTAGTCCCTTTTCATTATGTTCAACTCTTTCGTATCATAGGATATCTGATAAACACAAAACCTTTCTCGCATCCATGACAACTCAACTAGAGCCTATTACCTACCAAGAAACTGTCAAGCACCTTGAATGGTGTAAAGCAATGCAAGCTGAAATAGATGCTCTTGAGTTAAATCAGACATGGACTGTGATGAATCGGCCACCTGGAAAGGAACCTATAGGGTGTCGATGGGTTTATAAAGTGAAGTTCAATGCTGATGGAACAGTAGAAAAACACAAGACAAGGCTAGTAGCAAAAGGATACACGCAATTGGAAGGGATTGATTATAACGAGACCTTCTCTCCAGTAGCCAAATTGGTAACAGTTAGAACTCTAATTGCAATAGCAGCAGTGAAAGACTGGTACTTGCATCAATTTGATGTGAATAATGCCTTTTTACATGGAGACTTGGAGGAGGAAGTTTATATGCAGGTTCCCCCTGGTTATGGTGCTGATGGAACCTCAAAAGTTTGCAAACTTAATAGGAGTTTATATGGTTTAAAGTAAGCATCGAGACAATGGTATTCAAAGTTGTCTATCTTCATCATTGGCCAAGTTTCAATCAATCTAAGGCTGATCATAGTTTGTTCACAAGAAGCACTGGTGACTCATTCACAGCCATTCTGATATACATGGATGACATAATAATTGCTGGAGATAATGTAAAGGTTATCAATTCACTCAAGGCTTCACTTGATGATAAATTCAAAATTAAAGATCTGGGAAACTTGAGGTATTTTCTAGGAATAGAAGTGGCTCGATCAACGAAGGGAATTCAAATTTGCCAAAGAAAATACGCATTGGATATTCTAGCAGATTCTGGTACCATAGGAGCCATTCCAACTAAAATACCACTTGATCAAAATATAAAGTTGTCGAAGGATGAAGGGGAAATTCTTTCAGATCCTGCAATGTACAGAAGACTGATAGGAAGATTACTTTACTTAACGATTACTAGGCCTGATATCTCCTATTCGGTTCATTTGTTAAGTCAGTATAAGCAAGCACCTAGACTACCACACCTCAATGCAACACATAAGGTGTTAAGGTATATCAAGCAATCACCAGGCCAGGGATTATTATTGTCTTCATCCTCGGATTTGCAAATTAAAGCCTATAGTGATTCCGATTGGGGAGCATGTCCGACTCTCGAAGATCAATAACTGGGTATTATGTATTTATTGGTCCATCGTTGGTATCTTGGAGATCAAAGAAACAGAATACCATATCCAGGTCTTCAGCAGAAGCGGAATACAGAGCAATGGCTGCCGTTTGTTGCGAAATAACGTGGCTTAAGTATATTCTTGATGATTTGTAGATATCACATTCCCAACCAGCTGAATTGTTTTGTGACAATCAAGCGGCGTTGCATATAGCGGCTAATCCTTTATTCCATGAAAGGACGAAGCACATTGAATTGAAGCACATTGAATTAGATTGCCACCTTGTTCGTGAGAAAATACAAGAAGGGAGTGTCATTACTAGACATGTTCGAACAGGTTGGCAACTTGCTGAGATATTTACAAAATCTCGTCTCTAGTACCCTTTATTCGCATTTATCCAAGATGGAAGTAGAAAGCATTTACTCTCCATCTTGAGGGGGGATGTTGAAATTATATTTACAGCAAGCCAACAAATTTAAGAATCTGCTAGAAGGCTACGGTTACAAGAATTGCATTGGAGTGAGGGCTGCTGGTGCATATGCTGGAAATTAAAATAGATTCCAAGTTTGTTATTTAGTGTAATGATTAGTGTGCAAATAGAATTTTGACAGCTGTATAGATTTGTTACATTACGTTGTGTATATATATATATATGATTGTACTCACTACCCTTTTAGTGAGAATCACAGAATTAATTTCAATTCGTGCTTTCATTCTTCTCCTTTGTTCAGCCTATCTCCATCACTGATTTTATCTTATATTTCTTATACAGTTTAGATTGAACAGTTCAATGAACTAAGTGTAAACTAATTGCTTATGTCACCATCACAGAGACAACTAACTATGAAGAAAACAGCACTTTGCTTCTTATTCATTAGAGTTCATAAATGTCTGCAAAAGCCATTTCTGAAGCACATTGAATTAGATTGCCACCTTGTTCGTGAGAAAATACAAGAAGGGAGTGTCATTACTAGACATGTTCGAACAGGTTGGCAACTTGCTGAGATATTTACAAAATCTCTTGTCTCTAGTACCCTTTATTTTCATTTATCCAAGATGGAAGTAGAAAGCATTTACTCTCCATCTTGAGGGGGAATGTTGAAATTATATTTACAGCAAGCCAACAGATTTAAGAATCTGCTAGAAGGCTACGGTTACAAGAATTGCACTGGAGTGAGGGCTGCTGGTGCATATGCTGGAAATTAAAATAGATTCCAAGTTTGTTATTTAGTGTAATGATTAGTGTGCAAATAGAATTTTGACAGCTGTATAGATTTGTTACATTACATTGTGTATATATATATATGATTGTACTCACTACCCTTTTAATGAGAATCACAGAATTAATTTCAATTCGTGCTTTCATTCTTCTCCTTTGTTCAGCCTATCTCCATCACTGATTTTATCTGATATTTCTCATACAGTTTAGATTGAACAGTTCAATGAACTAAGTGTAAACTAATTGCTTATGTCACCATCACAGAGACAACTAACTATGAAGAAAACAGCACTTTGCTTCTTATTCATAAGAGTCCATAAATGTCTGCAAAAGCCATTTCCACTTTCCTTACCGTCTATATTTTGGACTTTCTAAAAAAAATTGCTATAGGCTGGTCTTGAACTTCATGAAACAAGAAACGATTCTTCTGAAAGTGTTTCCAAGCAAATCTGTAATTATTTTTTGTTTGTTCTGAAAGTTAACGTCCCTCCTTTTATTTAATAGGAGAAATATTTTAGCTCGCGTCTCATAAAATCATCAACAGGGCCGTTCTTCGGAGTGTAAAACGTAAAGACATTCTCAATTCATACATTTGAACTGCCAAGTTCAGTAACTCAAGTCTTTTATATTACCAAAAGAGGAAGAACTGAAATTTCTGAAGTACTCGACAAGTAAGATACGAATTAGCCTTAAATTAACACCCAAGTTTTTAGTTTGGGCATTCTGTGCTATCTACTGAAGCACCTAGCAGAAAAAAAAAGACCAAAAATACAAGTTACAAGCTAGACAATTTTGCTAGAACAGATTTGGTAACAAGGGTTCTAGTATTCTCAACTGCTTCAGTTAATAAAACCTTGTGAGGCTTCAGTAAAGGAGCATATTTGGTGATTAGGCATAAGATAAAGTTGCCAAACTTCAAAGATTTTGAATACCTGTGGCTGAATTCGTAAACCCGGTGAACGAGTTGTTCAATTGAATCTTCGGTCAGATAAACATTATGATTCAAGATGCTCTGCAATATGTTAAACAAAGATTCAGTCCACACAATCTTATCACTAATCAGACACTGATGGCAGGGAAGGCGTACGAATTTCCATGCGTTTATATCTTTCGACAGTACTTTTTGGCAAAATGCAGAAACATGAGCTGGGTGCAGACATTCTCTAACTATACTAGTGATTACATCGCAGATAGGGTTGTTTATTCCCTCATTTCGTAGAATCAGTGGAAATAAGAGGGCATATTCAGCGGCCCTTTGATGGGCATTGCAGTACTCTATTGTTGCAGCCACTAGTACACCAGAAGCTGGTTGATTGAGAAGGAGCAATTTGGGAAGAACAATTGAGCATAGAACATGGCTCGGCCAATCAAGCTCGTCTCCTTCATTTCCAACCAACAAATGGGAAACTAAAACTGCAGCAGTCTCATCTTCTGCATTCCATGGTTCAATCAAGGCCATAACAGCCAAAGAATCCTTTTCTCTTTTGACACAAAGTTGGCGAATGTCCTTGGCCAATTGAACTGCTTTCGAAATAGAATCAAAATCTACTAAACGGGATTTCAAAGATTTTGCTTTGTTCTCAACTTCAGGGTCCAGGGGATCATCAATTTTCCTAGGACTCCCATGATCTTCTACCATCATATCATCCACACTCTCCTGTTTATCCTCCTCGACCTCCTTCAGAAAATTATCTTCATCCTCACCACAGCTAACAAAAGGTACTTTTAGACTTAACTCATGAGGCGACATAGGTAACCAAGGAAGCAATGACTCGCTATCTTTCGCAGCATCTCTAAGCCAATCTGGCACTGACAGAAACTCATCCTCCACATTGTCATCTTCGGAACCCAAATCCAAATGGGAAACCCATTGATAATTTGATACAGACACCAAATCAAGCAACTGCTGTGCACATTTCTTCACCCAAAAATCAAGACCTTTGCCCTCCCTCAACATCTTTCTTGCAAGTTTACACAACTCCTTTTTACAAAATCTCTGATTATCATAAGCAAGAAACGATAAAATTCTGGCCTGAACAGCCGAAGGTAGTGTCTCTATCCACATAACCCTGTTCATTAAACAATAAAGATCAGAACTTTCTAGGAAAGCAAGAAAGTAATATAACTTATACGGACTTATATTCACACAAAAGCATATGTACCTTTTTTCTTGAGAAGGAGAAGAAAGGTCGATGAGAACTGAGGGCTTTGCGAGCAGTGAAAGAAAAGAGGCTGTGGAAATGGTGGCGCTGTTTGATGAAGGGTCGAAAGATTTTGTCTCAGGACATGGTGAGTTCATGAAAATCTCCATTAATGGAATCCAATTCTCCATTCTCCCCTGTTTTTCCTCTCCCGAGGACGACGGTGATGGAAAGTATACCAGGAAATGGTGGCCAATGGTTGATTCGCCCAATTTTCGCGATGGCCTTTAACCAGGTTGAACTAAGCTCCCGTTTGGCTCTCATATGATTGAAATAATATTTTTTTGAAAATTATGTGATTAGAAATGAAGAATTTTTTTTGAAATCATATGTAATAGTATTCTATTGAAAAATGTGTAATTTTAATGAAGGGCAAACATGAGTTAACAAAATCTGTCAAGTAACCTTCATTTCAGAAATGAAGGGAACAAGAGGAAAAAACTTGGAAAAAAGGGGGCTGAAATCTTACCAAGAAATCAACTTCAACACTATTCACCATCATCAGCTTAATCACATTTCAAGTTTAGTTGTTATTTTTATTGTTTAAATTTTTTGATTTTACGAATGGTTTCTTTGATTTTTACATTAAATCTTGATAAAATTTATGAATTTATGCTTTTAATGTATGGTTTGAAATAAATATATTGTTGTAATCGATGTTGGGGGATGATTTTAATGTTTTTTTGGGATAAACTTCGTCAGAAATTACGAACTCCGCTAATATGATCTGGGACATGCAATACATAAAAGATACGAGTTTCCTTTTTCGCAAGTTTCCTTATTTCATTAAAGTTTTAATTTGGATGGATATCTTATGTAATCTTTTAGCATCAATTTCGTGTAGACTAAGATTTTAGATTTTTCTTATAAATATTGACATTATATTCATTGTAAGGAGAACTTACATTATTATTATTGATAATTAATCGTGAGGCTTTTACCTTTCAAATCTCTCGTTCTTCATTGAGCAATTACGAATTTATCAAGAATCGATTTCTCGTGGCTTTCAAATATTCGGGTTAGATTCATAAGTCGTGTAATCAAGATGTCAAAATAGTGTTGGCGATTGTGTTAGTTGCTTGATTCATTAATTTTGGGTCGAGTCCAAAACCTCAATTTATTGGCTTTCTTGGGTTGGTTNCAAAAATCAAGATTATATCAATTTTCTTTTATTTGAGTACTTCTTTTTGGTTTTTCGTGTTCTTCGTCATTCTCGAATCTTTAATCCATAAAAACTCCCAAAAAAACTCAAAGGTCATTTGGTTGCTCATTTAGCATCCAAATCAGTTTTCGTTTTCTTTACTGGTCTCGTAATTGAATTTTCGAGCAAAAAAATTTGAAAAATAAAATAAAATTATTATTTTCAAAAAATTACCAGCAATTGTCAAAAATTATCTTGAGTAAAAAAAACCTACATAAATGATGGATGGTGATTAGGAGCATATTTTCTAAACTCGGTGTTTTGTGGTTATTACGGTATGCAGTTTGACTATTGTTAAGGAGTACATATCAAACTTGGCTAGTATCACGATGGTTACAAAATTGGGGTAACCTTTACAACAACACCCTAGGCCTTATATTATAGGATGATTTGGTTGAAGGAGTGTGGGAAGGTAGATGTGACTAAGTAGGTTCTATTGAATTTCACCATTGCGAGATATAGTGATGAAATTTGGTGTAATGTAGTGCCATTAAAATCTTTTCATATCTTGTTTGGGAAACATTGGAGGCATGAGAGGAATGCTGTTTATGATATAGGGAGGAACATGTATAGGTTTCTTCAGGATAGGGAAAGCATCACTCTGGCTGGCTAACACTAGAACAGTCCTTTGTAGACCAATGGAAGGTGATAGGTGAAGCAGAAAAGAAAAAACAAGAGAGGGAGATGACGACACCGAAAGAGAACATCAGGGTTGAATTGCAATAGGAGCCTAGAGACAGGAAAGTTGAGATGGAGGATGGTGAATTGAAAAATGCAGTTGATATTAGGGAGAGTGAACAAATAAAAGAGGAGGAGCACGGGCAGGTTGGAAAAAAATTGTAGAGATGGTTTAGCATGAGAATGAAAAAATGTAGAAATGGTTCAGCAGTAGAATGAAAAAAATGTAGAAATGGTTCAGCAAAAGAGTGAGGAAACAGGGGAAAACGTTGAACAGAATGTTGAAAATATTGTAGGAAGTGAAGAGAAGCATCATAAGGGTATCATTGTTAAGCATGATGTGGTGGAGGCAACATCTCATGAGTACGAGGAACCATATTTTGTTTTTGGATAAGCTAATAGTTTCAACTGTGCTTTGCTTAATTCTTTCTCATAGGTTGATATTTGTACTTGGGAGTTCACAACGCAACAAATATGGCTAATTGAGTTCGTGCTTCAATACATTCATATCTACAAAGTTGATGGGTGCCATGCATTGATCCTATACCAGGAAGGGAAAAGTTTTCCATTTAATCCAAGTGGTGTGTTGGTAAAACTCGTAGCAAGTTAGTTATCTCCTATACGATCACAATGCAATGATTCGAGGATGAATCATTTCGAAGAGAGTGGGGATTATATGATCCAAGACACACAATACATAAAAGATGCGAGTTTCCTTTTTCACGAGTTTCCTTATTTCATTAGAGTTTTAATTTGGATGGATATCTTATGTAATCTTTTAGCATCAATTTCGTGTAGACTAAGATTTTAGGCTTTTCCTATATATTTTGACGTTATATTCATTGTAAGGAGTACCTACATTATTATTATTGAAAATTAATCGTGAGACTTTTAGCTTTTAAATCCCTTCTTCTTCATTGAGCAATTACGAACTTATCAAGAATTAATTTCTTGTGGCGTTCAAACATCCGAATTAGATTCAGAAGTTGTGTAATCAAGAGGTCAACACATTGTCGGCGATTGTGTTGGTTGCTTGGTTCATTAATTTTAGATCAAGTCCAAAACCTCGATTTAATGGATTTCTTGGGTTGGTTCTAATCTTGTTGTGGGTTGCGTAGCTATTATGCTACGTGGTTCTCATCATCTGCTGTGCTCATGATTGTTTGGAATATCAAACGATCGTGCATCTGGGTAGACGTCCAGATAATGGTCCAGGCGCTGGGCCATTTTAAGAATATCTTCATCTTTTACCTAAAAAGCTAGACATATGTAGTGAATGATAACTTTGACATTGTCATTTAGAAAATTCGGCCGAAGGTATATGTTGTGTAAATTGGTAATTGCACAATTGGTCATCCCCTTTGAGATTAGATCGGACTTTGGGTTTCGACATTTTTTTTTTAGAGTTTAACTCTAAATATAAAATAGTATTTATTGGAAGGGAAATTAGCATAAAATGTATAATTTGTACTTATTGCGTAAATCGTCTCTATCATTTTAAATTTGACATTTACCCCCTCGTTTCAACATTTTCTTGTGTAATTAGTCATTTCCATCTCGTTCCTTTAATCAAATATGGGTAATTGGTATAAAACATCCCTATCATTTGTCTTTATTACACAAAACGTCCATATCATTTGCCTTTATTATACAAAAGTTCTTTATCATCTATTTTCTCCATTAAAGCATTTAAAATAATTAATTTACCCTTCTCTTTAAGCCCTTGTTTGACACTCTTTAATTTACTTTAATTTTTATTGCAGGATCATTTTCAACCATACGCACACAATAAAATATTATACACGTAAACATAAAAGTTTTCCCTTTTTTGTAACTGTACGTCCTCTTAAAAATATTATTCGAAACTCTTTTTTTTTTTTTTTGTTTAATGGGAATCGAACGGTGCTAAATAAACAAATAGAAATGAAATGAATAATAGTAAAAAAAAAAAATTGCAACCAAAGTCCTAAAATTTTCAAATAGTTAAGACGAGTCCCACTTAAAATAATTTAAAACCTATCAACAAAAAAAAAAAAAAAA